ACCCTCGAGACAAATAACCCTAGTTTTCAAGAGGTACTTACCGGACCAGGAATCCTAGCTACGCTAGAATTCCTTAAACAAACGAGGATAGCTACGCGGAAATGGCGCCTTAACGACCTTCCCGAGGGGGAGTAAAACACCTACAATTCCGATCCACTCCTTACTATTTTATCTTCTCTAAAAACCCTTTTCTTTCCTTCGTTTTTATCACCTCGGCCTAGATCCAACCATCCCTCGCACCACCTCGCTTTTATCTTGTATTTAAACCCCCTAGCCAGTCCTAAATGGACCGTCCGTCATAGTTTCCAACTGCATATAGACGTAAAACGAATCAATCAATCGATCATTGCATCCGTCATTGGAACTGGAGTCAGCTTCTATTCTAATCTTAGGATGCAGTGACGTTATTCCCTATGGTAATATTGCAAATTATGTCTTCAAACTCTCCTTCTTGCCGACTCGGCCTGGTACGGCTTTTGCCGACTAACTTCGATCCCTTACGCTACAAACTCTCTACTGCTCAGAGAGCTTAGGATATAGACTGGTTTGTTTTTTCGGAAGCTCTTTGTTGTCACGTACTCCATCGGGGAGCTGTTCCGACTAGAAACCAGAAAGCGCGGCACAGCGCTCAGGACAATCGAGAAAGACCACAGGACGATGCGAGAGCAGTAGGTTTTTGATACGGACGTGCAGCATGTGTACTCAAACACTGGGAGTTGGGATGTCGCTGCTTTGTCGGACTTCCGAGATCCTCACACTGGTAAATCAATTCTTTCTCGTTTTGTTGCTTCTTTCGCCGGATTACATCGATTGTAGTGAGAGTACTGCGCGACTACAGCTGTATGCATGAGGTCTTATGCAGGCACTCTTGCCTAGCGCTGCTTTTTTCTCTTGGGGTATGCCATTGCTTACTACCTGTGTATTTCCAAACCCCCAAAATAGTCCTATTTCACGTTCTTTCCCTCGGCCCTTTAACCAAAGTAAGGCAGTTCCGGCTCAAACAAACTGAACTCGACAGCTGCTGACTTATCATACAATGTTTTTTCAACCTCCTCCGGTGACATTGACATCAACCAATCCACGACCTCATCGCTAGTCCCCTGTGCTGCTGCAGCTATCGCAAAGATACCTCTCAGCTGCATTAAGTTGTAACCCTTACATAACAGCCTGCTAGACATCTGTGCTTCAAGCCAGATTCCATACATGGATACGGACCAGATTCCATGTAGAAGCAGTAATAGAGACGTAAGTAAAGCGGAGAAGCCCCATCGGTAGTGTACTGCTTTCTCTGGGTTTAATAGACATACTTTACTGTTGTCAATTTGCTCCATTTCGTACGCTTTGCCCCTATAGCACCGGTAACTGTCTGAGAAGTTCCGCGTGTCATGACTGGGCTCTTGATATGTCCACAACTCAGGGAGCGTGAAATTTTTGCCCCCGATTGGTATGTAGACAGTAATGTTACCTAAGCAGTATCAGCTTCGTCGAATCTAGGTACGTAATGTTATTGTTTATACAATCACATCCCTTAGTTTCATGGCCCTGGTTATCACACTTCGCTTGTGTTTCATAAGTTTGGTTTGCATAAAACCAACCTGTATTTTGTTAGTTTGGGAAAACGCAGAATGCTTTTTTGCCTACAATTTCCGTCCTCAAATGATACATAGCCCGTTATTGACGCTATATTCGACATGCTATTGTTAACATATGAACTGAGGTGGTCGGAATTGCAGGAGATACCGCCTATAATATAGTAAGTGCATACGTTAAAGCTAAAAAAGGACATAGGTAAACATACAGCGAACCCTTTGATCAGATGCTCGGTTAAAAAATGGAAAAAACTGTTCTCCAGTCACGCATGTGTTGTTTTCGATACCAGGTAGACTATGGAACAGGATCCCAGAACCCATCTCGTCCATGGAAGTCAACTGGCCCGATCCTGGAAGCTGTCCATAAGGAGAAGCCGAAGTGGTGTATCCAGTCATGGCCGAGAACAAAGTTGGTATAGTAAGGACATAGGCCATATCAAGCACCATATATACGAAGAGCATCATGGTGCCCCATCGTTTGTAACGTCTGAGGTCCCTAACTAAAGAGATGATAGTCCCTATCGAGGCACCATTTAGGGAAATACCGATGAATGTGCGGTAAGGAATTGGAGACGTTTCAATGGCCTGCAATAAGGCACTTGAGAAAACACTGTAGCTAATCAGACCGGCAAGGAACTGCAGGCCTCGAGAAACAAGGAGATCCCATGTGGTGTCGATTAGTTTTGCCACCCAGAAAGGAAATGTACCGGTGACGCGATCGATAGTAAACATGTTGGCGAAGCCGAAACCATTGGGGCTTCCTTTGGAGGCCTTCTGTTCGTCACTGCAGCTTGCACGTCTTGTAACAAAGGGGTCTTTGATGATGATGAAGTAAACCATGAGCGGTAAGAGGCCGTATAGTAGTAAAACCATGAGAGAGGTGAGATGGAGTCGAATGAAAGGGTCATCCTTAAACGTCGGAGTGGTGCGTCCTGCAGTTTTCCGCGCAAGCAGTTTTTCGTTTCTAGTATTCTTGAAGCGTTGAGGACGATGAGCCAAAACCTCGTCAGAAATTTGATCGGCTGACTTCGAGCTGTGCGATAACGAGCTGGAATCCGGAGGCTCGGATGATTCGCGCGACCCAACTATGCTGTAGCTTGTTTCAGGCATGACTGAAATAAAGGTGCTGAAGATTTTCGGATGTAATAGCAAGAAGAGATAGGTGATCGGAGATCGGTTAAAGGTTGAAATTCGGGGGGCGTGGCTCAGCCTGATGGCTGAGTGCATGCATTTTGTGTACGGTAGCACAGTGAAGCATCAGCGACCCTAGCTAGTTTTCAGCTGCCTGGCTTGAGAAAAAAATGGCCTTTCCTTTGGGAAAAATCCAGCGTAGCCTATCCTGTCGTGTTCGCAGGTGCAGTGACTGTGACAATTATTTGTTCAGACGTGAACTTTGATCTCGATAGTGCGAAGCATGCGCTAACCGCAGTACCATCCCAAATTGGACAGAGACTATTGCCTTCGGCCCAGAACGTCTCAAGCATATTTCAAATTGCACCTTGTGCTAGTAATTAGTAACGATGGAGTTGTTCCCAAATCGACGGTGCTCAGATCAAATGTTGGTGTTGTAATTTGTACACGATACGACGACTTTAGACGTGAACGACCACAGACTTAAGGATGGTACCGCAACCTTAATTACAGCCATTTCTAAAGCTTTCTGTGAAGCTGGGCGCGAGGAATTGGACGCCGCTTGTCCTCCTAAATTACTACTACCTATGGGGGTATATATGCTGCTATCTAAAAGAACACGTTTTCTCTTTAAGATCCTTATTCCCTTGCAGTGGATAAACGTGTGGTGTAAGGGGTAAGGCTGTAGTGTAACAACTGACTGTAATAAGGCTGAAAACCGAGAGTTATCGGAGTGATCCTGGCTGACAACTAGTTTATCTTCTTTTATATTAATGATAATGCGGTAATGAAAGAATTAGAGGAGAGACTGAAACGGAAGAGGGTTCCGCGAAATCCTGACTTAATAATAGTCGTAGTGATAGAGCTGAGAGAGGATTTAGAAGTTTGGGTATTTTCCAGTAAAGAACTTGAGCAAATGTTAGGCACTCATTACTATGCGGCCGAACATGAGTGGATCGTCTGGAAGTATGTGAAACCCATTTAGCTTTAGCAGCTGCTTACGCGTCGAATAGAGAACTGAATCGGCAACTTGTAATTTGGCTGACGTTTAGGTCCCGTAGTAAATTTTCAAGGTCTTTATTACGGATTTATATAGGAGACAACTTCGATGACGGACTTCGGGATTGCAAAGCTATGCGAAACCTTTATTGTGCTATTTTAAAAAGAAAGCCTTGTATTTCACATGTCAGAGCCTCATCGTAGCCGCTTTTGAAATAAATCGCAACGGTCCGTGCCGCAGTGATGCCTAGTACCGCGTGACTGCACTTGTGCCGCAGCTATCGATTTCTTGCGTGTTATTCGATCGCTTGCAGGTCGACTTTCGCCAAACCAAAAGTGTGCAACCGGAACTTCGGCAGCTGACCTACAAGCAAGGCATCCTATTTGTGCCACGTTGTTGGTGGCTTTGCTAATCAAAACGGTTCACCGGCTACTGCGATTCTGCGCCAGGGTCCATCTACGAGGCGACCATACGCTTTTCAGAGCGATCGCGTCGTCTTCCACTTTTTATTCACATGCAAATTTAAACGCCAATATCTAGCGACGCATTCTCTAAGCTGCAACCGAACTGCACCTGTTACTGAACGTCCTATACTTCATATTCTCTTGCAGTCCATGGTGTTCGATTTACCTTGCAAAATCATGACGTGCTTTTGAACCTCGGCTTCTTTCATTCTTCAGAGCAGTCCCAGGTGCGGCGTATGGAGCAAGGAATACCAGTGCCATATAACCCACCCTACAGCCTCATGCAAGAATAAACCGATCTCTTCGCCGCATTGGGCACCGACGTCCACAGACCCATGTTAGCTATCAGCATTGGGCAGCGTCGCATTATCTTTTTATTTCTACAACATCACAATGCCTTATAAAATCGTAGTTACCAAACCACCCCTCTTCATTTCTTTTCCAGCTTTCAATTTAATTCGCTCACCTTTTGCTGTGAATAAGTGCGTGCAATATTCAACAATTCTTGTAGGTAAACCTCCAAAAATACTATGCCATGAGCTAATTTCTTGAGACCAAAAGTAAACTCAGAATAAACGATAGGCTCAGAGCAAAACAGAGCATATTTTCGTTCCAATAATCTCAATACCCTTCCAAAATGGCATTTTACGTGCAACCTTCCCTTCAGGATCTGCGTGCACATTTTGCACCTCATCAATTCGGTCCAAACGAGAGGCTCACGCTTTATCACGTTTATGACAACCTTTCGCAGACGCCGCTCGATGAACGCGGCATTGAATGTGGAGATCCGAATATCCTTCTAGTGAATCCATGGCACGTCATCACCGTCGACAAGATAAAAGACCACCTCGATTGGAGCAGCCGCAATCCGACTCAGTTCATTTCGTTTTATAACGACAAGGACAAAGCAATAGACGAGGCTAATCGGAGGCGTGAACAACGATGGGTTTACAATGGAGAGGAAGATCGGTTTAAGAAGCGGTACCCGGAGAAAGTCAGGATTGCTGTGGTAGAGCTGGAAAAGGCCTCTAGCGTGTGGGTGTTCTCTAGGGAAGATCTGAAGCGAATGCTTGGCTCTCATCCCGATGTTTTCTATGGTACCCATAGGCCCGGCCACAATGAGTGGTTTGTTTGGGGGCATGTGCCCAGGGAAAACGTGGCGGGTTACTTGTCCCCTCCAACCTTTGGAGAATGGATCTATCATCCTCTTTAAGATGGTCAATAAATTGAATGGACTTTTTATATTTCCTGCAAACAATACGTTGGGAAGAAGCCGGTAGTTCAAACAGCGATTTATCAGCGTATAAATTTGTAGTTATTTCTTACAATATCGCTCTGAGAATAAACTGGAGATGTGAGCAGCTTTTAAATTCTTATCATAAAGTGATAATTATTAACCAAAACAACCTCAATCACTTCCGGCTTGAGAGAATCCCAACACTGCTTCTCTACCCGCCCTACAGCCTCGCGGTAAGCAACTTCATTACTCCAAGTAATCCACATGGCATTGTGGAACTCGTATAATACCCCATCTTTTAACCTCCCCTCCATACGATATTCTTCAATATCCTTGAATTTTCTACATCATCAATACCATTTGGGAGGGCCTCTCGGCATATAGCCACCAGTTGTACCTCATATCGGCCGGAATTCTGACAGAGTTTATGGCTGTGCAACCGCAGTACTCCAACCCATTTATGTCGTGAGTTGTAAAGTGATATGCAAGGTACACGCTTCTTCCCTCCATTCACTTTAACAATCCGTAGCGAAGGCGTTTCGGCGGTACACTGAATATAGAGCTGTGCCGTTTCCACAGAAGCAAAGAGGTACGGTGTGTTCAACCATACTTCCCGCTTAGAGCTTTTGCTGTCGGCAAGAGGCATTGGATACCAAAAGTCAGCGTCGCTGCTTTCATGCTTAAAAATATATTGACCGTAGCCATATGGAGCTTCTTCTGAAAACGTTCTTCTCTCTTCTTCGCTTCGCTCTCTTCTCGTCCATCCTGGCGGTGGCGTCTTATTTGGGTCTTGGTATTGGTTTCTTCAGATAGCCCAGTCGGCGTTTATCCGCCTTTTCTCAATAGCTGTAGGGCTCTCGCAGGCGTACCATGTGGTGACTGGGAACGTCTCTCTCCTTCTTATTTTGCCATGTTTGTTGTGTGCAAGAGAAACATTGAGGCTGTCACAGGGTCGCGCGTCGACTGCCCCTTGCCAACCTACTACCCAACTCCAGGATGAAAGGCAAAGACGCTAAGCTGCCTTTAATCAAGGTAATGATGTAATCCGCTGTGTAGTTTAATATGAAAGTGTCAGCCAGGATCACTCCGATAACTCTCGGTTTTTCAGCCTTATTACAGTCAGTTGTTACACTACAGCCTTACCCCTTACACCACACGTTTATCCACTGCAAGGGAATAAGGATCTTAAAGAGAAAACGTGTTCTTTTAGATAGCAGCATATATACCCCCATAGGTAGTAGTAATTTAGGAGGACAAGCGGCGTCTAATTCCTCGCGTCCAGCTTCACACTATTAGATTAGTTTCTCTCTTTAATTGGTTCTAAGCTACAGCGGGATTAAAGAGAACAAAGAGGCAGATAAACTAGCTAAAGCTATAACTAAATAGCTAAGAGAATACAGCTTTAAACTACTAATATTACTTTAGGCCTAAGCAGCTAATGACATAGCGTATACAACCTAGGCAGCCGAATAGAAAAAATTAGATAAAGGATAACACCTTTTAAATATTAACGCGGCCCTACTAGGCCCTTATACTAGGTACCTATACGATAAGCTCCTACGGAGCTAGGCTAACCTCTTTACCTAGCTACGAACCGGCTACTACTAGCTTAACTAATACCGCACACAAATAGGTTAGATTAATAACGGATAATATAAATACGGAGAAGTCGAATCAGTTTCCTACGTTCTCCTTAACTACTATCTACTTTAGGAAAGCTAACAGAAGATACTCTAAGATAGTAGGCTAAAAAAGAATAGCCTATCAGCCTTACTTAGCGGAAAGCTACTAAGCAACGCCTCAGCTACCCCGCGTAAAGATAATAATTAGAGAACAACAGTATTATAGCTTCAGGCCGTACTAAGCTTTACACAAGACTTATAACGGTTCTAGAATAGAGACAATCCTATAGTATAGAACCTCTACATTACTACCCTCTCCTACCTTACTGTCCGCTCTCTTTACCTTCTACTTTCCTCCTAGATTAACACGTCACATATAAACTAGTAGCAAAACTCTTTAAATAGTCGTAGCCTACATATCGCTCAGGGCGATAGGTCAGGGTAAATAAACACAACTCAACTCAACTCAATATATAGGTTAGGGTCGTATCTTAAATTTTCGCCCCGGAACCCTACTTATTTCGAGCCCCTCCTTACTAATTACATCGACCCCTATCTTTCGTAACCTTAAAATCGATTTTAGTGAGCCACCAAACACATCGACTCGATAAAATAAATGGCGAATATAGGTTAGGTAATCCTAACGCCTAGGATAAAGTGGCCTTATTCAATTAGAACCTATTCTATAACGCTAAGGTGTTCTGCTATAGCGATAGCCAACGCCTTAACCGTCATCTTTGGCGCTAGTAAGTACTGGAAAGTTATCTCCAACCCAAACTGCTTAAACAGCCAGTTTCGTAGCTCCGCGCCAATCATACTGTCTAAGCCATATGCCGCCACTGATGAGCCATCGAACTCGATGTCCGTAGCCGGGATCAACAACATGCTTGAAAGTTTTTGAGTAACATTCCCGGCGATGGCTGCAAGCACAGAATCGAGACCTTCCGCCTGGGCCGCTTTGAGAATAGCAGTAAAATCTCCACTGCCGCTACTACCACTCTCTGGGTCCTTTCTAATCTCCTCCACCCCAGCGCGGAGGATTTGGAAGCGGGCGTCATTGAGCCAGTATACGTCGTCAGAGGAATCTGCTGATTCAATCGCAGCCGCTAGGTAGGCAGGCTCTAGGCCGAGAACGATCTGCGAGTTACCAAGAGTGGTAGGGCCATTCCGAGCCCTCTGGAGCATGGCCATCTCAAATCCACGCAGCATCTCGCTTTCGTCGATACCGTACATGGCCTTGCGTGACAGCGCCTCTTCGATGCCCTCATTCTCAGCGACTACTCCGACGTCAAGCACCATTGGCAAAACAAGCGACGTAGCTGGGAGACCCAAATGGGAATTGCGATGCCAGGCGAGAGAATCGAGGTAGCTGTTGGCCACGCAGTAGTTTGCCTGGCCAGGGTTGCCCATGGTTGCAGAGATGGAACTCGTCATGACGAAGAAGTCAAGCGCCGTATCCTTGAAGACTTTGTGCAAACTCTGGGCGCCTTTGACCTTGGGGACTATGGCAGCCGTAAACTGGTCGAACGTCATGCCGTCAAACATTCCATCCTACTTAGAGTGAGCATCAAAAAGTCTCATGGAGCCCGTCTAAAGGAATCAACTTACGCGCAAGACCATGGCAGCATGCACAACGCCACGAATGGGACGAGACGTGGTAATTGTGGAGACGGCGGATGCCACGTCCACCTCGTTGGAAACATCACCGCGGAACACTTGAATCTGTGCACCGGCTTTCTTCAAAGACTCAACGAGCTGTTCACTGCCATTAGCAATCTGCCGAAGGACAAGGCAAGTCGTTATGACTTACGGAGGCTGCCTCTGGCTTGTCTGCACCAGATCTAGACAAGAAGGCAAAGTGACGAGCACCCCTTTCCATCATGAAGGTTGTGAGGCTACGGCCGAGACCACCAAGGCATCCCACCAGGAGATAAGCAACCTCAGAGGAGAAATTAACCTTTTCAGCCGTCGGTTGTACCTTAAGAAGCAATTTCAGTTCTAGGATTTTAGGCTACGCAGCTCTTGGGAGATCTTACCTTGATCAAGTCCTGCCCATAAGTGTACTTTATCACGAGATACCCGTCCCCAAATGAGACCTCTTCAGTGTTACTGAGACCTCCCACTTCCAGCAGTGCAGGTTTTCGAAGTGCCTGGGTATTGTCGACGAGAAAATCGATGGATTGGCTCAAGATGCTTCCTAGTATCCGGAGCTGACTTCTGTATATGATTTTCAATCCAGTGGAAAGAAACGACGCGCCCCGAAGGAATGGCAAGGAATCGGGATTTTCCTCAACTCTTACGTCATTCAAGACAAAGCGTGTACCAGAAGGAACAAAGCGCCAGGTCTCCTTGGCGAGAGTGGAAAAATCGTGAGAGATGATAGCATCGGGAGCTCCTCCGCCGTGGGATTTTGGCTCAAACAGAGCCAAAATAGACGATACATCAGAGGACAGCAACACACGAGTCGCAGTGATGCCTGCAGCGATGTAATTTTCCTTTTCTGACTCGTTTTGAGCAACAACTGCAGTTAGATGGAAGCCCAATCTTTTCTCCAACGAAGCAACAGCAGCAACAAAAGATGGCCTTGCAGGAAGCAATAGAAGACGCTCTCCGGCCTTCACCTTGGCAATGTTGACAACAGCATTGAAAGCGCTTGTCAGACTTGGAAGAGTCGCAACAAGCTCAGCATCATTCAACGAGTCTGGGTAGAAACCACACAAGGATACCGGGACGGTGATGCTCGTGGCAAATGCGTCTGGTGCAAAAGCAACAGCTTTTTTGCCAACAAAGTCAGAAGAAAGACTTGAGCCAACGGCGGTGACTAGTCCAGAGACAATACGAGGACCACTCGTGTGGGCTTGCAGATCAGGCTTTTCGAAGCTTGCGTAGCCAACTTGGAGCCGGACACCATATTGGCCAAGGGCTCCGTGCCTCAGGTGCTGGAAGACCAGTCCGCCATCTGCGAAGGTAGCATGCAATGCGTCTTTGTTTGACAGTACCCTTTTCTCCGGCAGTGAAGAAGTGGAAGAAAATGTAGCGTTCAGTGGCTGGTTTGGCAGTAAGCGCACCACATGAAGTATGCCTGCGTGCAGCCAGAACTCGGTGTCTGCTCCAGAATGCTTGGTCTGAATCTCCCCAAGCTTCCCGAGGATAGCTTCTCCAACAAGCTCGGAGGTTTCGGTAGCGTCAGTGTCCAGAAGGAGGAGTTTAGCGGAAGCTTGCTCCGACCGGATGGCTCGAAGAAGTCCCTGGCTCATGCCGCCTGAGATGTTGGTCCCCTCATTGACCCCCGAAGTTACCCAGATAGTGGGAACACCAGATGTCAGGATTTTTTTTAGTGCATCAAAAGTAGACTCGTTCAATGAAGGGATCATGTTGCCCGAAGTGTCGTGAATGATGAATCGTTCCCCTGCCCCCGGTTGAACTGTGGAAATTTTAGAGATGTCAGTGTGCTGGACTACATCTCCATGCTCTCTTAGGAATGCGGACAAGAGGACGCTGTGCGACTCGGGCTCATTGCTGTGGGTAACAATAGTAACCTTCCGTTGGAGCGGAGCGTGTCCGTTCGAGTGGCTGCCCTCATGGACTGAAGCGATGACAGAAACGTCTGGAAGTCGGAAATGCAGCTTAGAGTCAACATATCCATGTGAAGGGAGTAGTCTCTCAAGCGACTCAGACGCTGAATTGGGCGCAGAGAAAATGACCCTTCCTTTCTCCGTGAGAACAGCTTCAAGGCCTTGTAGCAGGTGCTCCGCGGTTAACGCTTCTACCCAACCTTTGCCGACTATGACGAGATCTGCAGCCTCAACTGAAGTCTCAGTCCAGTCGAAGAGCCCTCCCTCGGTAGAGAAGGCGGAAACGTTGGCAGATAAGTCTTGCTTTTCAATGATCGAATCCAAAAGATCATTGGATGTACCGGCAAGAATAACCTCCGTTGCCGCAGTCAACTTCGCAAGCACCGCTGTCAGTGTCTTTGAATCTACCTGTCCGATGAAGAGAGCACGTTGGATTTGCTTCTTGTGTTGGATCAACTCAACCACAGCAGCGATTGAGTCTTCTTCTGACCGGATCGTCGGAAAAGCACGGATGGCCTGGTCAGTCGTAAGGTTGGCAATGTCAGGCTTCCATACAGTTTCCATGTATGGTTCACGGGGCCTGGAAGCCTTGCTACTCTGCGGTACGGCGGCCTCGTAAGAAACGCAGCGAAGGCTTTTGACGTCCAACACGACTTGTCCATCTTCGGTGGAAAGCTTCGTGTGGGTATTGAAGTACCGGCCATCAAGCTCATCAGTCCACGCAACGGCCTGTCCTACTGTGCCTCTGGACTGCTCAGAAGGCGGCCAAACCGACAACTCATCGATTCCGATGGGAACCACTCCATGGGGCATATCCTTGTGCAGACCGGCGTTGATGGAGATGATAATGAGCTGCAAACACCCGTCAATGGTGGAAGGATGCAGTAAATAGCGGGACTCGCCCGAGATAAGGCCACACTCGGTTGCAACGCGGACCTCAGCAGCGGCAGCATGGTACTTAGTGTTGGTCCGGATACTACCCAGAGGCTGGAAGCTGGGCCCGTACTCAAAGCCGACCCTGTTAAAAGCATCATACCATCGCTTGCCTGGGATGCGCTGGCTCAGCTTATTTGTATCAACAGGGTGAGAGTGTTGCTCAATTGGCTTCTGAGCTTGATAGTTGGCAGCGATCGAACCCTGGCAGTGGAGCTTCCATTCGCCATCGCCATAGGACTCGACCGCGAAGTTGAACCAAGTGTCATCGACGTTGTCCAGGCGAAGCTGTATCTCAACTCCGTCATCCGTCTCTGGAACCACGAGCGCAACCTTGATGGCAACATCCCGGAACGTCACGCCTTCAACTTCGATACTCTTATTCTCACAGACTTGCCGGAGAGCCTCGCAGACCATAGAAAGGTGGCCTGCCGCGGGAAAAACTGCTTCTTTGCCGAGCTGTAACAGTGTTAGCGTTGTTTACATATTTGTTCAAACACAGAAGGCGCTTACGCGGTGGTCCTTCAGCCATGCTAAGTCTTTGTGACGAAGAATGTTCCTCCATGCAAGCGATCGGTCAGAGAGGCCCACCAGCTTACTGCCGAGTAGGTCGTGGCGAGGATGAGTGAGGTTGCGCTGCTCGTGGCTGAGACGTGGCTCGGTCCAGAAAGTTCTCTCATAGTTCCACTGATAGGGGGGGAGGTCTACGAGAACCATTGGTTGGCGGGTCTTCTGAGTGCTCCCAATTGTGCCGTCTAGGGCGTTGACTTCGTCAACGTCGATGGGGTAGTTTTGAATGAATAGTGCCCCGGCTGTTTTGAGAAGCTGCACGGCGCTGTCCTTGTTTCTGACCAACGAAGCCACGTATGTAAAGTGTTCGAACTTGTTTTCTTGGCAGATCTGCTTGAACGGTCCACTGAGAGCAGTGTGTGGGCCAACTTCGACCACAATACCGATGCTCTCCAACCCCGGTGTCTTTCCAAGAGAAGTAACAGCTTCGTCAAAAAGGACGCGGCTGCGAAGATTCTCACTCCAGTATGTCGCCGGCACATGGTCGCCCCTGAATTCTTTCCCAGTGACGGAGGAGAACCAGGTGGCCCGGGGACGACGCCAATCCAGGCTTGCTTTATCAAGGCTTCCGACAGACTGTGCGAGAAGAGCGTCGTACGCCACGGCTACATTATCCATCTGAGAAGAGTGGTATGCTTTGCCGGTGGGAAGTTCACGCGCGAAGATCTTCTCTGCCTCAAGTTGCTTCTTTGCCTCGGCGACGGCCTCAGATGTACCGCTCAGAGTGGTGCTAACAGGCGAGTTCTGACATGCCACAGAAAGAAGGTGGTTGAATGAAGACAGGCGGAGAAGAGCTTCTTTCGCACCCAATCCAACAGCCAGCATGGACCCCGGGGGTGCATGGCGCTTGACAGCGAAGCCACGCAGATAAGCTGCGATAATGGCTTCCGGCGCAGAGATCAACCCGGCCGCATACGTGGCAGCCAACTCACCGGATGAGTGGCCTACTGTGGCTGTGGGTGTGATGCCCCATTGCGCGAACAAGTCCACAATTGCAATCTGGACAGCAGTGCAAATGGGCTGCGCAATTTCTGCATCATTGATATTGATCGCATCGCCGTCTTTCGAAAGCGCGTCTTCCAATGCCCACTCGGGACGGGTATCGTCGAGGCGCTGTAGAACACGGTCCAGAGTGCGGATTGTGGCGCGGAATCGGGGGAAGGTTTCCATTGCATCGGCCCCCAGGCCTTGCCACTGTGCACCTTGGCCAGTGAAGATGAAAGCTAGGCTGGGCGGAGTGCGCGGAGCGCTGCCGAAAGTGAAGGCAGACAGATCAAAATCGGCGGCCCCATGCTTTTCAGATGCAATGGTAAAAGCACGCGAGGAGAAGCGAGAGCGGCGCGCCAGCAACGTGTAGGCAAGATCTGGCAAGTAGAAGTCTGGGGCAACGGCGGCGTGGGCGGCAATGTTGCGCTCGAGCGTGGGTCGGTCGTGAGCAGAGAAGCCCACAAGAAATGGCCTAGAGACGTCTGCTCCCGAGTAGTCGTAGGAGGCCTCACTGCGTCGGTGCCCGTGGCGGTAGAGAGGATGAAGGGAGTTGACGCCTTCAACAACAACGTGCCCGTTGGTGCCGCCGTATCCAAACGAGGAGACCCCAGCCCTGCGAGCCGAAAACCCTTCTGGCCATGAGACAGTGTCCCTCGCAACACGAATGTTCCACTCTTCTTCGCGGATTGCCGGGTTGAGGTTTTTCAACCCAGAGACACCCGGCACGACGCCGGCCTCGGTCATTAGCGCGGCCTTCATGACGGCAAAGATGCCGCTGGCTGCTTCACTGTGGCCGATGTTGGCTTTGATGGCCCCGATGACCAAGGGGCAGTCGGACGGACGGTTGTCATTCATGGCGCGAGCCACGGCACGGCTCTCGATAGGGTCGCCCACAGGGGTGCCGGTTCCATGGCATTCAACATAGGCCGTGCGCAGAGGATCTAGGCCGGCGCGGGCATAGGCGGCGCGCACAACGCGCTCCTGGCCCTTTCCGCTAGGGTGGGTGATGCCCATGCCGGGCACCTTTCCGTTTGTGTTGACGGCCGAGGAGCGGATGACGGCGCGGATGGGGTCGCGGTCGCGGATGGCATCCGAAAGGCGCTTGAGGTAAAGGGCCCCGGCCCCCTCGGCACGGCCGTAGCCGTCGGCCGAGGCATCGAACGTGTGGCAAGTTGACGTGGGCGACAAGATGCCGAGCTTGGCCGTGTTCATGTGCTGGTCGACAGTCAAGACCAGGTTGACGCCCCCGGCAATGGCGGCGGCGCAGTCGCGGGCACGCAGGGCGTGGCAGGCGTTGTGGATGGCGTAGATGGCCGAGGAGCAGGCCGTGTTGATGGTGAAAGCGGGCCCGTTGAGGTTGAAGGTGTTGGCGACGCGGGCGCTGATGAGGCCGGGGTCGACGCCGGTGGCGGCGTAGTTGTGGCGGAAGTCGGGGTCGCGGGTCGACATCTGCTGGTAGTCGCTGGTGAAGCTGCCCACAAAGACGGCCGTGTTGGAGCCGGCGACGGCGTCGAGCGGCAGGCCGGCCGACTCGAGGCTCTCGTAGCTGACTTCCAGCATCTTGCGCTGCTGCGGGTCCAGCCACATGGCCTCGACGGGCGTCATGTTGAAGAAGGACGGGTCGAAGGCGTCGGCGCGGCCGTCGAGGAAATAGCCGCCGGGCACGTTGAAGCTGCCGGGCCGCTCGAGGCTGGCGTGCAGGTAGGCGTCGATGTTGAAGCGCGACTCGGGCACGCGGGCCGTCTGCACCGCGCGCTTCTGCTTGAGCGCCTCCCACAGCGACGAAGCCGAGTCGATGCTGCCGGGAAGCCGGCACGCTTCCACCCCACGCGTTAGCCGTCTTGCCAGGATGCTGCCGCTGGGACCGGCCCCTTCCACTTACCCATGCCCACAATGGCAATCGCCTCGAGTCCACCGTCCTCTTCGAGCTGCGGCATGGCGACGATGATCGGAACCGACAATGGCGCAGGCCACGCCGAAAGTGGGAGGCTGGACGCTGGGAAGTTATAGCCGCGCCCTCTCGCTGTTCGCTGGCCTCGGTGCCGCCCCCGACGCCCTCGGACGCCCCCCGCCGCCCCCCGCCGCCCCCCTTCGGCGCCGCGGCCCGGGCCCGCAATAAGGTGCACGCCTGAGCGGGCGCCCTTGGTGCACGACCGCGCCTGCCACGCCCATTATGCACTCCCCCGAGTCTCTCTACTTCCTACTGCTTGCCGGCACCGCCTGTGGCCTGCTCTGGGGCGTCGCCCTCTGGAACGGCACTGTGGCCGCTCTCGTCACTGCTGCCTGCACCGGCCGCTTCGAAGACGGCACTCCCCTCGCCACGAGCTACACCGGCCTGTCTGCCATCGACTTCCCCGTGTCCCTGCTCGTTGCCTTCTTCTTCTACGGCACAAACGGCTCCCATCCCGCCTTCCAGATCTTCCTCGTCGATGCATACGCTACACTGCAGTCTGCTTTCGTATGGCTCTACGCAGAGAGCTCTCGCTTTCATTCCAAGCCCTACGCAGTTGCATAGTAAGACCCTGCCACGCCAGACACCGTCTGCCATGCAACTGACGCCTTACTGAAAGCCCAATCATCTGGGCCCTCTTGTGGCAAGCATTCGGTGCCGCCATCGCTCTTCCCCTCTTCTTCAGAAAGCACCTCGAGTGGTGCAAGAGCAATGCGAAGCCCTTGCCAGCCTCGGAGCTTCGTCCATCCCAAGCATTGCCCTTTAGTTTCGCCCTCGGGGCGCTGCTGCCAGCTGTTATCGGCATGCTGCCGACCTGGTACCCGCGGCCCGACCAACTGCATCAGCAGATACTCGCAGCCTGGCAGCCCGATCCAATATGGGTGGCTGTGGTCCAAGCCACCTTGACGACGGTGCTCTCACGTTTACCCACCGAAAAAAGCGACGAGAGGTCGGTTGGATGGCTGCAGGCCTCATACGTCATTGCTGCAATGTCGTCAGCAGTCGGGCACATGTATGCTTTCGCAACGCTGATGCTGTCGTCGGACCCTCGGCTCGGCTTCAAAGGTGCCTATGTCCCTTCGCTTTTTTCTGGGCCGCCAGGCGCAGCTTTGAAACTGGCGAACGGGCCCTGGCTTTTTCTTCAGTACGACCTTATCATCATTTCCCTCTCGGCTCTTTCGTGGGCGTATTTACTTGTCACTCCGATCGTTGGGAAAGAGAGTTGGGTTCGTAACTTGCTCCCACTTCTGATCATGGTTGCAGGGTTCGTCTTCGGAGCTGGTACGGTCGTTTCGGTGATTCTTTTCTGGCGGGAAGGGAAGATGCAGCAGGAGCGACGCTCTCGCAAAGCCAACGTAGCAAAAAGGAGCGATTAAACGTCAATTATGGAGGTTAGCCAATTGGGAACCGCTCCTTCTTCGGCAAAAGGCTGCTTGGATACTTTGTAGAGTATCCATGACGCCGCGACTTTGTGAGAATGGATCAGCACTGGATTTTCCCTGCAAATCTAGTGTGTCGCAGTTTTTAATATCAATTCTAACCGTAATTAATTGTAACTATTCCAAATAGATGAATTGCGTGCGATAAGGGAAGTTGAACATGCGGCCTTCCGCGTTTAGTTTTTCCCACCGAACCAAGACGGAAGCAAATATTGCCAGTACTTGCCCTGGAATCGGCCTGTAGAGGCAGTCAGCCACAGCCTAATGCTTTCCAAGACATGATTCTCCTACTCTCTTTGCCGCTTGGGCTGACGTGGCGTTCGGACAGGGCGCCGAGCTACGATAATCCTACGGGCACGGAATCGAACCGGTGTCTCTCCGGTTCCCCGGAGCTGACCGAGGGCGAGCAGTTCGGCACCGGGGCCCAGGTCCGCAGATAGCTTGCATTGGGCTCGTGAAAAATACGTAACGGTCCTTTTGGCAGCGTCTAAGTTTTGTCTTGAGAGCCCCAGAAGAACTGTAGAACGAAAAACACTGAACTTCGTGTCAAGCTGTAGCATCGTGTAGGTGCAGCTTTGGATAGAGAGATGGCCGCAATGGGCTCTAATTCAGGTCGAAATGTCGATGTTGCCATTATTGGCGCAGGTATGATTACTGCATCAAAATGAAAAGGACGAGCTGACTGGGTGCTGCGTGGACAAGGCTGGTATGGCCTCGTAGCTGCTCGAACCTACCTTAGGCTCCGTCGGAACACCAATCTCTTGATTATTGACTCAGACTCTACCGTGGGTGGGGTATGGAGCGAGAGCAGGTTATATCCGAACCTGGTAGCCCAAGTCAACCTGGGCCTTTTTAATTTCACCGACGTACCTATGCCGGCTACAGGCGTCAACGACAAAAATCAAGTCACCGGACGCATGATTCACAACTATCTTGCTGCTTTCGCCAAAGACAATGATCTCCTGCATCGTATCCGCTTCAACACTCACGTGGACAAAGCGGTCCGATGTAGGCGAGGCTGGCGCCTCTCGTTCAATAACTCCAGCGACACCGTTGATGCCGAGAAGCTCATTGTCGCCACTGGAGTCACCTCGATCCCCAACATGCCGGTGTATACAACCGAAGAGGTTACCGTGCCTGTGGTTCACTCGCGCGATCTCGGCCAATCGTACTCGGAACTGCAGCAGGCCGACAAGAAACACATCATCGTCGTCGGCGCGGCAAAGTCGGCGTACGATGCCGTGTACCTTTTGCTTTCCATGGGAAAGAAAGTGACTTGGGTCATCCGCCCAGACGGTGCTGGGCCGCTCGCCATCTTGCCGGCAGAGCTCCTGGGGATCTGGACGAGCATTGGAGTCGCATCAACACGCCTGATGACAGCCCTGAGTCCTTCTATCTTCAATACTGAAGGCTTCCTTTACCGCATTTTCCAGAAAAACCCCTTAGGCAGGTTGTTCACAGGCCTTTTCTGGGACGTTGTCGCCTTTCTTAGCGATCTGCATGCTGGGTATTACAAAAATGATCACGTTGCGAAACTCAGGCCAGAAGTTGACGGTAAAGGGTAAGCCGCCCATGTCAAATTCCTTCTCATTCATCTTATCTGACAGAGGCATGCAGAATCTTCTGGGCCAACTCAGGCCTCGGCGTCGTCACCCTTCCGGATTTCTGGAGCACAATCCACAAGGGTGACGTCACAATTGTGCGCGACGCCCTCGACTCCCTCAACCATAACACACTGCGACTTCGATCAGGAAAGGCCGTGCAGTCGGATTTCATAATCATGTGTACAGGCTGGGGAGATCATTTTGCTATGTTCAATGAGGCGTACAAGACGGAGATTGGACTACCCGTGAGAAGCAAGACGTCACTCGAGAAGGACCCCGCCGACACCGAGTGGGAGCGAATCGACCAGAAGGCCGAGGCTGTTGTTGACGCGAAGTTACCCTTCCTCGCCAAGGGCCCTATCCTGAAGAACCCCCAGAGCAGCTCCAGGCCTCAGTGCCGCTGGAGGCTATACCGCCGGGTGGTGCCTTTGTCGCTCGCTGAAAAGGGAGACCGGTCTCTCGCCATCTTGGGCCAGATTCACACGGTGCAGACGCCGCTAGTATCTGAGATACAGTCGTTTTGGGCCATACTTTATTTACTAGACGAGCTGGAGCTGCCGGATCACGACACCATGGTCAGGGAAATTGCCGAGTGGAACGCCTGGACTCGCAAGCGCTACCTGAGCCAGGGCCAAAAGTTTCCCTACTCGCTTTATGATTTCCTCCCCGTAAGTCCAGTTCTTCAGAGCACCCTATTTGAGCCACGCTCAGCCGCTGACCTCTACAAGTACATCGACACACTGTGCAACGACCTGGGCATCAACTCGCGTCGAAAGTCCAACGCTCTTGCCGAAGTCTTCTCGCCCTATCGCCCCAAGGACTTCAACGGCTTCATCGGAGAGTACTTTGCCAACAAGGCGAAAAGAAAAGGTGCAGTGATGCCTCCCAAATCCTCCCACCAATTCGTCGTTGGTCTGGCGGTTGTAGGAACTTGCGCATACATTTTGAACCTTATTCTCGCAACATTGCACCAAGATTGAGCTTTTTGTACTTCTTTTACAAATTAATGATCATAACTTAGCTCGTAGCAAAGCATTGGGAATCGAAGCAGTGAGTTCAATACGCCTTGGCTTTTCAAATATTATCACTTTGGTGACATATCCTATATATTTGCCCAGCTCCACTCAAAAATCGTTGCTTCATCTTACTATGGCTCCCAAATTGTGAATTCAGATCGAGGGGCTCAAACAGGACGTCGGCTGAGACAAAGCCCGATTACAGCCATCAATTTAGTACTGACGTTTACGAAAAACTCGAGTTGGACAGCTCTCTAAACAGTTACATGGACGGGTTACCTTTCTCCGCTCCTGTTCGAGCTGACCGGAGCCCGGAACATGAAATGGCTTGTCACAGCTCAACCTGCGTGTCTTGGAATCGCTTGTAACCCAACCCTGCGACGAATGTGTACCTCCACTCTCCCTGCTGCCTGTCTTGACTCAACTCCCAATACTGTTCGGCGTGCGCGGGGCCGTTGATAGCACCTGCGGCAAAATTTCCGTCTTCCAAGCGCTCGTCGCAGTAGTAAAAACTGTCGAAGAGAGAAGGTAGCGTCAGTCTTGCCATATTTAGCGTGATTAAAGGAAACGCCAACGGCACACAAGCAAGCTACCACACTACTATGCGAAAGGGTGCAAAGAAAAAAAATAAAAAGAGTAATTATGGGTGAAGGAAAAGTGCTGACGTATATGGTATAACCGTGCGAGAGAAGGTAAAACGCGGCTTGATCGTAAAAAGGTGGCTAGCTGCGAGCTTTACATAAATGAAAGAGCGAAGCAGATATGTGCTCGCTGGAAGGATATAGTAGGGGGGATAGCATAGTGTTGAACCAACCAAAAAGCAAAAACAAATATATGGAATCATTCGAAGATAGATTAGCTTAATAGCCAAACAATCTAATCTGGTATCCAATAGAAAGAAAGAAAGTAGGATAGTAATTGTTGATAAAAGGGACAAGTGAGAGTGGAAACGAAAGAAAACAGATAATGGAAGAAAGCTTACGTCCAGCCTTTGCCTCGGTATGCGATAACTGCATTTTCGATGACGTGAGCCATGGCCGTCTTTCCAAGGCCAAGACTAATGAGCTGCGGCTGTGGCATGGAGCCAAGGCCATTGGCTGTGTAGATGAAGGACTTGGGAAGTTCGGGCGGCAGGTGGGCGAACTCGGCCACGGCCTCGGCGGCGGCGGCGTATGCAGACGTTGTGTTTATAGCGATGTCATACTCAAGCTGAGCCTGGGACAATGACAGCGGATTGTCGGCTCTGGTCGGAAAGACGTGGTACGCTGGTATGCCGTCAGTATGAACCATGACAACCACAACAAAACCAGAAAATAAAAACTTACCGTTGTGGATGACGACGTTCGGGGCTGCTCCGAATGCTGCTCTCACTTTTGTGAAGGCGTCATGGATGGCGTCGGGCTTGGCCAAGTCGCTCTTGATGTGTAGATAAGCTGGGTCGAAGCGGGTGCGCCCGCGGCTGACCAGGGCGATGCGGTACCCTTTAGCCGCGAACACATCGGCTGTTGCCCGCGCGATATTTGGGCCTGCGCCAAGGATGAGAAGAATATTGTTCGGCGCCATTGTACCGTTTGCCATTTATGGGCACTTCCCGCAAAGTATTTATAATCAAGCTCGGTTGATGGCCGAGCTGCTGACATGCTCGGCCAAATTGGCCGGTGGTGGCGTGGGGTAGTCATTGTGTCACCCTTGAGCACGTAATCAAGAGGTTTTTCCGTCAAAAAACAAGATGTCAATTTCATCAAAATCTGCTCTACCTGGATCAAGCCTAAACGAACGTAACTCAATCGAAGCCGGTAGCTGGCACAACCCTCGAGATACGCGACTCAACCGTAATCACACGTGTCTCTTCGTTCACAAGCATGCGACCATTGCCAATGAAGGTCATGTTCTCCAGTTCTCGAAGGCCATCGCCTCCGCTCTGAAAAGTGTGGGCGCCAGCTATTGCATTCACCCATTATGTCAGCCTGAACTTTGCATTCTACGGGATAACGTACTGGAAAATCCGAAAGGAACGCTCTTGGATGTGGGTGCCATGTTGAAGATGCTCTGGACTTCTTCATTGAGAGAGATAATCCCTTGGTACCCAAAGTCGATAGCTTTGTCGTCCTTGGTACTAGAAAAAAAAGTTATTTCGCTAATTCGTGACAAAAAAATCAAGGAAATCATACACGGCAACTGCTTTCAAGTTGATACGGGCGTGTTTTTTGTCATCATCAAAGGTAAGCCAGTCGGCTCCAAAGACGACGTCGGCATTGAACTTGGGTTCAAAGCCTTCAACCGTCTCGAGTGTGCCCGTGGGAGTTTCCTAATAGAAGAAATGCGTAAGCTTCGGATGCTCTAAAAATATCCCTCATTCAACTAGGGTGCGTACAAAGTGGAACAGCGTAGAGCCGCTGTGTTTTGGGCCTATGACTAGTCAGCATGTATCTTCATATTTTGGCATTAAGCAATGGCTTCTATTATACCGACTACATGTCCGGCGCCGACGTTGACTTTGCAAATGAGAGCCGGCTGAAGGCTAGGGAAGTTGATGATAGGGGGACTCATGATGCCGTTTTAGCGGTGTTATCGAGCTTAGAAAACCACAATGACCTATGGTACAATCTGGTCTTTTATAGGTCCATGTTGTGAACAGTAGGCTTCTTGCTAGCCAAGACCTCGATAGCCGGCCCGAACGCCGAAAGAGGCGTTACCGAGATCCCGCTAACTCGGCCTGGCGCTCCGATAGCTACGTTCTTCGCCCTTCGTTGAATCTTATCGAGGTATGCGCCAATCGGCCCATGCGAATCCTTCGGCGAAGCACGCCGTCATCGTCAATATCTACAGCTTTGCACATGGCTATTTAACAGCCTTGTTTCCGGCACATTTTCCTCTCTCTAAACAAGTGTCGCGTTCAGAAGTTATTTGTTCCCTCAATCCGTCAAACATGGCAGAATCTCGACCTTTTCGTGTTATTGTTGTCGGCGGAGGCGTGGGAGGTCTAGCCGCCTCTCATGCGCTTCAAAAGGCGGACATCGACCACATTGTTCTTGAAAAGGGGGAGATAGCTCCAGCGAGGGGTGCCAGTATTGGCATATATCCTCACGGCTCCAGAATTCTCCAGCAATTTGGATGCCTTGAAGAGGTGGAAAACGAATGCAACCCTCTTGGTAAAAGCCTTAACCTTCTTCCAGACGGCCGCGTTATTGCAAACAGCAACTTCTTTGGATTGTGCAGGGAATAGTACGTTACACTAAGCACCGTTAGATGTAAAGCACGCTAATCAAGCCAAGTCACGGTTATCCTATTCCAGTTCTGGAACGAAGGCGTTTCCTCGAAATCTTGTATGAGAAATTGCCGGATAAGTCCAGAGTGAGAGCGGGAGTTGGTGTCGTTGATATCACAGATTCGGACGACAATGTGAAGGCGGTACTGGCCGATGGCACCATTGAAGAGGGAGACCTGCTCATTGGGAGCGACGGAGTACACAGTCTAATACGCAGCCTCATGTGGAGGAACGCAAATGCTGCCATCCCCGGGTTAATAACAACAACCGAGAAAAAGTGTACGTCGAGCATTCCTACGTCATGAATTCGAATAAAGGAAACAGTAAAACAAGTAGAGCTGACATGAAAGAAACAGCCCTCTTCACCGACTGGAGTGCACTGATTGGTTTTAGCCCTACGCTGCCGAGTATGAGTAACTGTAACGTCTCTGTTACACACTACCCAGGCAGATCGTTCCTCGTGCTTGGCCAGAAAAAGTATACATTCTGGTTCGTTTTCTTCCGCAACTCGGAGCGCCTCTACTGGCCTCACAGCCCGCGCTGGACGCAGGCCGACGCCGAAAAGCGTGCTGTTGAGTGCCTCGAGTGTCCCATCTCGAATACACACGTTTTTGGAGAGCTCTGGAAACAACGCGTACGCGCGGAGTTAGTTAACGTCGAAGAAGGCTTATTTAAGCACATGTTCTTTGGCAGAGTCGTACTCTCGGGTGATGCAGTGCACAAGGTAAGAAGGATTATAGTTGCTTTACAGATTCGATCGCTTAAAATTCGTACGTAGATGACTCCAAACATCGGACTCGGAGGCAACTCTAGCATGGAAAGCATTGTCGTGCTGACCAACCTACTCCACCGCGCCATCAAGGACTACGAGGCTCGAGGAACAAAGCCTAAAAAGGCCGCAATCGAGGCACTACTATACCAGTATCAAGCTGAGCGTACGCTTCGTATGCGACAGATTATCGACTTCTCCGCCCTCGCGACAAAGGTTCAGGCTTGGGAAAACTTAGGCTACAAAATCATGTCACGCGTTATGCCACTTTTGCCGGAGAACACGTTCGCTCTAAAAACTTCCAAGCTTATTAAAGCTGCGCCGAAGCTGGACTTTGTAGCTACGCCCTTGGATACTAAAGCTACTATTCCATGGGAGGATAGTAGCTTTAGCGTTATTGTCCCAACGAAGCCATATCAAGAATCGACTCTTTTCTCGAGTCGGAAAAATTGTCTGTCTGTTATCTTTGTACTACTTCTGTTCTCTTTTTTATTATTGTAATGAGGCGTTTTCAACAGAGGCCCTTGGAGTTGCAAATTGTGTGAGGATAGTAGAAGGGTTTATCTTAATGCATGAAGAAAGATAGCCTGAGTATGGGCTGATATCCCAACTATCCTTATCTTCTATATTCATTTTACTTCTTCGTCGTTTCAATACCGTGCTATCCCCTTACTATATTAACCAAGCGAGTATATAAATACGGTGCTCTTTTATATATATATATATATCTCGCTACCAGTTACTCTCTTAAGAACCAAGCCGCGTTCGCTTCTCTCTCGTACGGTTTTAATCAACATGTTAATAGACAAGTAGTATAGAAGAATTAAGAGACAAGTTATATAAAGGATTAGGATAGGCGTGTTACTATTAATCTTTAATATAGATTAATGCCTTAAGTTAACTACGAAGGTTCTATCTACTACTAGAGCATAGTATATATTGGACTATCAGGCCATCTACTAACTATTAGCCGATATTTTATTATATATTACTCTCTATATTTACTTTACTTTTTCACCTATTTCAACACCCTACTACCTTCTATTAGCGAGCATATAACTACTCTACCCTTTTATGTATATAAAGCTCGCTACTAGATACTCTTTTATAATCAAGCCGCGTTCCCTCTTTACCCGTACGGTTTTAACCACCTCAAATATCAACAGTTTAAAATATAGGAAAATCTAGTACTTTAGTATTATAATTTATTAACCGGGTTTATAAGGGCGATAGTTATATAGTATAGCCCCACCGCGTATATTTAGTATAGGTAATATTATAGCAGTAACCATACCTCTAAAGGATCGCTAGAGCTCTATATAATCGGCAAATAATATAATCTATATACTAACAGGCGATAAATCAAGCCGTGTATAGCATTATATATTCGGGACGGGTAAGCAGGCCTATGGTACTCGCGCGCGGCGAGGATTAAAGCGTTGCTTACGCAAGCTTTTTTTTTTAAATAGTATTCTTATTCACCGACCTTCTAGCCTAAATTTCGCTCAATCGCAGCTAACTCGTAGAAGCGCGCTACTATAATTATCCACGATGAGCACTCACAACACCAAATTAGGCTAATCCGCGGGAACAAATAGACACGATTAATAACTATCTATTAAGTACGATTTAACGATTATTTACGTAATACGTTTACTTAGTACAACACTATTAACTTTTATAGTAGTAAAACCGTACGAGTAAAGAGAGAACGCGGCTTGATTATAAAAGAATATCTAGTAGCGAGCTTTATATACATAAAGGGGTAGTTATATACTCGCTTATAGAATATATTAGGGGATAGCGAGGTGTTGAAACAATAAAAAAGCTAGGTAAATATGGAGGGCAATGCATGAAGAAATGTAGGCTGATAGTTAGTTGATAGCCTGATAGTCCAACAAACACTTTCTACTAATGAAGTGGATAGTCCCAACCCATGTCCCCCAAACTACCAATATCGTTTTGCTGCAAATGCTGGCCACCCAACGGAAGGCCCACAAAGCCGATTAAACGTTGGTCAGTTAGCAACTTGCCGCCGCTCAGCTCTTCGCGAAGCTCGGCCTCGAAGACGCCAACCAGCGGACTGATCTGCATGAGCGCGACCATGGCGTCAACAAGTGAGTTCAGCGCTTCCTGCAGTACGGAGCGGTTCACTACGCTGCCGCTTTCTGGAAACACCGTTGTGCCTATGCCTCTCGGCGTCAACAGCGATGGTGACGAGGATAACGGCCCCATCGCACTGCTGAACAGATTCGTTGCGCTCGTTGCGCCCGTAATTTGGTTTGTGGCAGCTTCCCAGCTTCCCTCATTACTGCTGGGCGCCCACGTCCACGTGTCAAACGGACTGGAAGGAGAGGCGCTGCGCGGACTTCTGGACTCGTGGATGGCATCCAGTGCGAAGGTGTTGGCATTCAGTGTGCGAATGCATGCCTGGGCGGCTACATATATCGACCAAGGAACGTAATTACTCATCTGATCCGAGACACTTAGTTAGTATTTGGTGCTTCTTACTTCAAAAGACGGGTCGGGGTCCCTGGCTGTTTCTCTCACCTTCGCCAGGTCAGCGTGACCCATTAGCTTTCGCGACATGTTGGCAATTGCCAAGGCCGAGTTCTGGCATTTGGAGTTCTCGCACAATGGGTGTGGCGACCTAGGCACCTTCGCCCCGGCAACATGCATAGTCTCCGCGTAGTTGAGACAGATCACTATCGCCTGAACGCTGATGTTCAAGCAAAAGGCATTGGGCTCGTTTGGCAATAATGAAGCTGCCGTTGGAGCAGCACCGGACGCGATCCGCTTGATGTTCTCGCTGATACGATAATGGTGCATCCAAAAGTCATAAGTCGGGCTACCTGGCTTGCCTTCCTCGATGGCGTGGGTGACGTGAAAGAGGCAGCGATTGTGCAACCCGCTGATCAGTATGAGCGCATTGTTGGTACTGAGCTCCCTGGAGCCAGATAACCTGAATGCATCATAAAGATTTAACCTAGACAATGAGCTCGGAGCGTCATTAGCCGGTAAAAATGTTGTTACCTGCGCGGCCAACGTCAGCTATGATGGTCAAAGGATTGTAGGTGATTTCAGCCAAGTATTACGTCTGCGTAGATGGTCGGAATGTGGGTCTCCCAGCCTTTGTTTATACTCACAAAGCAGCTTATTTGGAAAGCCGCCCAAAACGTTCTCCTTCTCTCTTCAAGTTCCCACACATCGGTGGTCGGCGGGAGGTGATATCTGCGCTCCTGATACGCTTTCGGGAATGTGGTATTGCCGTCCATATTGTGCAAGCCAAACATTCGCACCATCCAGTTTACCCGGCTGATGTTGGTCCAGGCCCGAGCGAACATTGTCTGCTTGAGTTCGAACTGAGCTAAAAATATGCAGGATTGCAGTGCTGTAAGAGTCAAAAACCCTTTCCCTAACTCTGCCTTTTCGAACTCTTTTCGCGAGAGTTCGTAGAACTTGCGGGCAAGATCAGCTTGAGCAGAACTGAGAGATGCGCCATGAGCCAATATAATTAGCTTTAGGCTTTGCATCTCGGAATTTGCCTGTGAATCGGCTAGTCTTGACAAGAACCTATTTTTATCCATCATGAAATATCCGGAGTGCGCTTTGTCGAAAAATTTGGTGTACCTGTTCAATGTCAATTTCGCACAATTCAACAGATGCAAGATGGTAAACGGACATTTCATTGAGGACGTTCGGGGGCAGCAGCTTATCCACATCTGCTTCTTCTCCGTTATGTGTTGGTTCAGTTTCTCGCACTGATGGTGATGATCTCTGTCTTCCGGGGACTTGAGATCCAAGGATACCATCAGCTAGAAGATCCATCGATTGCAACTGTGGCCCAGTCCACTGCGTGTCTGTGAGAAAGGCCCATGTGTCGTCCAACGGTAAGGACTCATTCGAATTGGCGGAAAGCCCAAGGATGCTATTCTCCGCCCAAGAAGCAGTCGGCGAATGGTTCTTAGAAGAATCTATCGAGAGTGTAGCAGGGTCTTGGAGTGTCCTGAGGGATTCTTCTGCTTGCGCTGTCATCCTATTTGTCAGTCCAGGTCTGTTGGTCTAAGAAAGAAGAGTATAAACACACTTAAGCGCCGACAAAGGCTATCGATTATGACCATCATCTCTTGTTTGTCATGACCCAAGTTCCGGGCATAGGCACATTCAGATCCACGGCGGGAGCAGTTGTTGCAGCAGGGTTGGCGGCCATCGCAACGGACTTTCCGCTGACGGCATTCGATACAGGCAGCATGTCTTGTTGCATTACCTCCGTCCATTGTGACTGCGTTTTTGTGGTGTAGATGAAGAGCTGAGACTTGGATTGAAGGGCTTTTAAACTAGTGCTTAGTCAGACCCTGAAGCTGAAAATTTAAAGAAGTTGTTTTTACGTTAGTGTTACCAGGCTTACGAGGCTAGAAGCGGATTTAAGATAAGCAAAGGCACCAGTCTATTAAGCTATGCAATGGCGCTGTCTGCTATCCTAGCGTTTTGGAAAGCCCCAGATATGATGTCAGCTATGCAATATCTAGAACCCGCTAAGTAGGGCCTCGTATCTCAACGCTTACTGTAGCACCAAGATGAGTTACTACTTACCATCCAGCGGCAGAGCGGGGTGCTCTACTTCTACTAATACTACAGCACAGCATAGTCTATTGTATTTTGTAGTCTAATTCTATATTAGTGGGAAAGCCCAGCTAGTAGTGGGGCCTTATATAAAGACACTTCCGTATAGGTCCTTTGATTTCTAGTTAGAGGTTGATGAGTAGCGGATCGCTTACAAATCTGCCACAACGAGCCTCAGCTGCTAACAACAATGCATTATGGCTGAGCGATCACATCATTTACCACTTCGCGAATGAAGATTTCTGATTCGCTGTTTGAGTGCCTAGTGGAGCTGCGGCTTGTACATATGAAACTAGTTAGGATGGAGGCGCGAGGCACGGCGAATTTAGCCGATCGTATTGTCTCACCGTGTACGCATTCGTGGGATTCGGAATGTAAACTTGCTCGGCCAACGACGCCGAGCCAGGACAAATAGAAATAAAAAGGCACTCCTTCGCCGGTAGTTGCTAGTCCTACACATCCACCATCTCCTTCGATACATTTTCTACAAGTGCACCGTGCAACACATACCAAAGGAAACAATGGCAAACATCCCCCTCGATAAGACCGTCGCCCTCGTCTCCGGCGCGAACCAGGGCATTGGCCTTGCTGTGGCCACCAGGCTGGCAAAAGAATATGGATACCATGTCATCATCGGCTCACGTAATCCGGAGGCGGGCGCCAAAGCCGCTGCCTCACTTGGGGGTTCAAGCGTGCAGCTTGACCTGAACTCGGAAGAATCGGTCGTTGCGGCTGTCAAAAAGATCGGCGAAACGTTTGGCCGCCTCGACGTTCTCGTCAACAACGCTGGCATCCTCATTGACGGCTTCATCCCCGGCCAAAGCACCCGCGAGCTCTTCACTCAGACTTTCAGCACAAACGTTACCGGTACCGCCTGTCTGACTGAGGCTCTGCTGCCCCTCCTCCGCAACTCCAGCTTGCCCCGCGTTGTTTTCGTCTCGTCGCGCATGGGCTCACTCGCAGAGGGCACCAATAGAGATATGCCCTTCTTCAACTGGGACTTCAAGGCCTACGACTCTAGCAAGGCCGCTGTTAACATGATCGCCCTCAACTATGCTAGGCTGCTCGAGGATGTTTGCGGCCTTGTCAACGTTGCTTGTCCCGGCCTAGTCAGCACAAAATTGAACAACCACAACCCAGACGGTGCTCCGCCCGAGATCGGCGCGCAGCGCATCGTCGAGCTGGCGACTTTGGGTAAAGGCGGTCCGACCGCGACATTCTCTGACCGGGAAGGCCCGATCCCTTGGTAAAGGAAGGCAATTGTGTGCCGGTTGAGGGGTCGATTTCCTTTTACTTACTGAGCGGCGAAGTAGGAGCTAGTCTGTAGGGAGCTTTCAACAATTCATTCTTTAGCATGCTGCCATTTCTATATCATAGCTACGGTCACGTTAAGTAGAGAGCCCAAGTGATCAGATTCCGCGTTCCATGTGTCCAGCTTGCGCGCGTGCGCCGGCTCGTTGCGCCGTTTATGAGACTCGATAAGACCACCAAAATTGACCAGGTCAGGCTCGTGCATGGCAGTGCCGCATGCGTCATGTTCTGATACCCACATGTCGCGTGTGCTAGTCTCCCATATAACTTTAGGTGATGGTAGCGGGAGCGCCAGGAACTGCTCTACCGCGTCACACGGTATGCCCGTCCTGACACTGACGAGGCGGCTGATGAGAAACCACACGCATGCGGTCCTCCTTCTCGACTCGGCGAGTATCCATTCTTCCCAGGTAGAGCTGAGCGAAATTTGCTCAGACAGACAGAATGGCTCTTGAAGAAGCTTCATGAGGCGCTCACAGAGCGTCTGGAATGTTAGGAGCATCTGCAGGTTGGACTCCGCTGATTGCTGCGGATCATTTATGACAACCTTCATGATGATGTAAATAACCTGTGCTTGCACTGCAGCAAGCAGATCTTCCTTTGGCATTTGGTCCACCTCATCGACTCAGTAAACTGTCTTCGGCAGTTTTTGGGGAAGTACTTACTTTGGTCAGGAAACGCTGCTGCTCTCGCTCGATGGTTTGCCAAAGAAATGGCCGTGTTTCGATGCTCGTAGATACAAAGACATGAGCTATGCCCATGCAATTGGTAAGCGACTCCGGAAGAGGGCTCTTTGCATAATGCCAGTGCGGATGTATGAAAGGTGGGAAAGTCGGTCTTCGCAACATCATGCGTGGAAAGCTCTGTAGGGCCTGCATGACAATCGTGGCACTGTACTGAGCGACGGGGTCATGAATGGGGACATGTGCGAGGAATCCCGCATTAGTTAGGGCGGAATTCGTGTTGTCAGATGCCAAAGCCGACCGCCCGAGCCAAGGAACACCTTGCGGCGCGACATGGTCCGCCGACATGCCAAGGTCAATTGCATTCGGAATTGTGGAGTGGGCTTCGGTGGGAAGATGCAGAGGATCGCTTGGTACCTGCTTGTCGGTCGCATTTGCGGTAGGCGGGCTCAAGAGACCGGCGATGTTTCCCAGAGACATGTCGTCATCGTATGTGAAGAGGTCCGCGGTTGCAAGGAAGCCGCAGTCCGGAAGGGGAGGCGGGTTTGTGTCGAGAATGACGGGCTTAGTCTTGCGGGTGGATGCCGGGTGGTCGTAGAGGCAGTCGAGCCCTTTGGCGATGCATCTGGAGCAGCGGGGCTCGAAGGAGCACTTGACCTTGGCCAAGCTGCAGTTGCGGCATGACCTCTGGCGGTGGCGGGGACGGATCTGCGAGTTGCGGCAGTAGGAGACGTGGCGGGCGTAAGATGGCTCTGGGGAGCGATTCGGGCGGGTCAGTAGAAAGCGGGCATGTAGCAAAGGAGCCCCAAGACGCACCGCTCATGAAGGGCTTGTCGCATAGGGCGCAGACGCGCAGTGAATCGGCAGCAGCGGGACTGTCTGCCATGGTGGCGAGGGGCAATGGGAGGAACAGTGGAGACGTGGGAGAGCGTGGGGACAGTTACATAGCGATCGGCGCGCGGGACGGGACCAGCCGAGGGCGGAGGCCGGGGAACCTGGAAAGTCCGTTTGGTCAGCCTCAAAACACCCTTCGCCGTCGCCGTCACGGCCAATTTGGCCGCTTCCACCTTCACACACCCCCGCCGCAGATATTTGTTTCGCCATGGCCGCCCCCAGCATGCCTTTGTCCTGTCCACAGCCATCGCCATGGACTCTAATTCCTCCAAAAGCGAGCCCCTCCACGCCTTTTCTCTCACCACCGACTCGGACTCCACCGACATCGAGCCCCAGCTCGCCGTCCGGGCTGACCAGTCGCCGCGAAATGTCCACGGTCTACGCTGGTTCCTCGTGTGCACCTCGCTCTATGTCGGCGCTCTGGTCTACGGCCTGGACACGACCATCGCTGCCGACATCCAGGCTGCCATCATTGAGCGCTTCGGCGCTGTTTCCCAGCTCACGTGGGTGGGCACTGGCTTTCCTCTTGGCTCCGTGTGTGCCATCCTTCCGAGGTGAGTCGCCATCGCATACGCACGCTACCGCGCCCCCTCTTACATGTCTAGCGCCGCCTTCTACGCCGTCTACGACACCAAGATCCTATTCATCGCCAGTCTCTTGCTCTTCGAGGTTGGCTCCACCATCTGCGGTGCTGCCCCCGACATGAACGCCCTCATTGTGGGCCGTGTCATCGCTGGCATCGGTGGGTCTGGTGTCTATATCGGGTGAGTGTTGCACGACCGCAAAAGTCCCATTGCTGACAACGTCTGAAGCATCCTGAACTACTTTGCCATGTGCACGACGAACAAGGAACGAGGACGGTACATGTCAGGTATCGGTCTGGTCTGGGGCCTGGGAGCTATTCTTGGTCCCGTCGTCGGAGGGGCATTTTCGACTAGTTCCGCCACCTGGCGTTGGTCCTTTTACATGAATCTGTAAGTCAAGCCAGCTGCTGTTTCCAATTCGTTTACTGACTACCCGTTAGGGTCATTGCAGCCGTCTGTGCTCCGATATACATATTTTACCTTCCGTCTCTCAAGCCACCAGGCTCCTCCGACATGAGCGCCTGGAGCCAACTCCTCGCAATGGATTGGGCCGGTTTCACGCTCAGTACAGCGTCACTCGTATGCTTCGTCGCGCCTCTGACTTTTGGTGGCGCGGGATGGGCCTGGTCCGATGGCCGCACTATTGCCATGTTGGTTGTCTCCGGCGTATTTGCCATCGCGACCGTGCTTCAACAACGCTTTTGCCTGCTTACCACTTCCAAAGCACGGATGGTCCCGCCGTCTTATATCACCACAAACCGGAGCCAGATTTTGTTGAACATCCAGACGGCGGCAACAGTAGCAAACATCTACATTCCCCTCTACTATATACCACTTTATTTCCAGTTTGTGCACGGAGACACGGCGATAAAGGCGGCCGTCCGTTTGCTTCCATTTGTCCTGATCCTTGTCAGCACAAACATGGCGAGTGGGTTACTTTTACCCAGTATCGGCTACTAGTAAGCATTCCGTTGAATTCCCATCAAGTTCTAGCTTAGCATACTGACAATATTCTGTCAGCTGGATAATGTACACAGTGACCGGAATCCTCATGACGACTGGGGGTGCGCTCATGTACACGGTCACCTTGAACACGAGGCCGGCCAACGTCTACGGGTACAGTGTCTTACTCGCCATCGGGAGTGGCCTGACGTTCCAAGCGGGCTATGCAATTGCCGGCGTCAAGGTCTCACACAAGGGCTGGTCTGGTACCGACGTCCAGAGCGCCATAACTTTGCAGAACATCTCGCAGCTTGGCGGCACTCTGTTAAGCCTGTTGATCTGTGGGCAGATTTTCCAGAGTCTCGCATCGGAGAAGCTAGAACACGCGCTCGCTGGTCAGAATTTCTCGAAAACGGATATCAAGGATGCCATTGCGGGCACACAAAGTGATCTTTTTAAGAATTTGACACCAGAACTTGGGAGAAAGGCTATTGAGGCCATTACTGATGGCATGCAAAATGTCTATATCTTGAGCATGACTGCCGGAGCTCTGTCCCTGCTCTGTGCATTGGCTATGAAGAAGGAGCGGCTCTTTGGTATGCAGGCTGGCGCTGGCGGTGCCTAAGCACATCCGAGCAAGGATGTGTTTATGAAAAGCACTCAAAGGTCTCTTGAGCACTTATATGTCAACCGTCTCACGGAACGGAGGAATGCCTTTTCTGGCTAGTTACGGACAGGGTCAATGGTAGAAGAGTTTCTAGAAACCACTGGCTGGTAGATATTAGAAGTCTAGGTATAACCTAACTTCTATATTAGGAACTTATCCTTCCGGATAGAAGTTTCTAAACGTATCCTTTAGACTCTAGATTGTTCCTACTTACTAAAGGATTACGTATATAAGAAATTGCTTAGAAATATCTCCTTTCTATTTATTTCCACTACTGTCTATTATATTTCGAAGTAGAACTTTCCAGAAGTTCTTATATATAAATGCTCCTACAGATAGTACGCATTAGGAGGAATAAGGACGTTCATTCTCAAGTCTCTTTTCTATAAAATCCGACTTGTCTAATAGTAGATAGTGGTGATATGGGCTTACAGTTTGAGCTTATCAGAAACAAATGTAACCGATCGCAATTTCTTAACTCAGCCCCACAGTCTAGATGGACGACAAGGGTATTTGTAGCACCGACGCTTCTCAAACCGGAAACCATGGCGAATACGACAAACAAGACCATCTGATTCGATTAAAGAGCATTCCAAATACGCTATTCACCTGTGTCAGCACTGGTTTTGGCGTCAGTGCGCATTGACTAGACTCAGTGTGATCCACGCAGGTCCGCGAAACATTCCAATGCGTCAGCGCAGTCTCAGCCTCATTCGGTGGCACTGCATCATGAGGACATAATGTGGCCCCTGAGGGATCTCGGAGATGGAGGGCGTTCCTTCTCGCCGCCTTTGGCGGCCTCAGCTTCGGCCTCGGTCCCGAAACCGAGCCTCGTAGGGGCCCCGGAATCATACGGATATCGCTGGACTCAAAACTACCTGAGTGTGTGCCTGCTAGCGTGGGGGTAGGCAGTGGAGGCAGGGTAAGAGGGCAATTCGGTGAAGCTTAGGTGTACGATCGGAGCTGGAGAAGGGCTTTTTCTTTCTTTCCTCCTTTTCTTCAAGAGCCGCTGCTTGCCAATGATACCAGCCAGGTTAGCACTACATTTCCTCCCTCCCCTCCAAGGCCTCTCATTTGACAACGATGTTGTTATTCTCACGCCTTCTCTCGCTCTCGGGGCCTACGGCGGCCGGGCTCCTGTTCTTCGCATCGTACACATCCGCGCTCGAGGGGTGGAAGTTCAACGAGGGCAAAACGGAGATCCTGGGCAATTCTTTTGGCGTGCCGGGCGTCGAGGTGACATACGACTACATTGTGGTTGGAGCGGGAACTGCCGGTGGTGCTGTTGCCGCCCGCCTCGCCCTTGCTGGCTTCTCCGTGGGCCTCATCGAGGGCGGCTCCTTCTACGAGCTCGACAATGGCAACCGCACCACCATTCCCGGCTACGACCAAACTACACATCCTAACGATGCAGGCGCCTCTCTGGTCGATTACGATTTCGTCACCGGGCCGGAACCGGTAACAACCTCTTCTTTTTTAAGTTATATTTTTGGAAGCTAGAACCTGCATCTGACTGCTTTGGTAGGGCCTAAACGGTCGAAGCCTGCACTACACGCAGGGCAGGACCTTTGGCGGATCGTGAGTTGTCTCTCTCTCTCTCCTCTCTCTCGTCCCCTTTTTCTCTAGCTTTCTGTCTCGTCTGGTCCCATCTACTTCTGACCCATTGGCCCAGCTCCGCCCTCAATCTCATGGGCTACCAGCGTGGTACTGTTGGCTCGTTTGAAAAATGGGCCTCGATAGTTGGCAACGACCTATGGAAGTGGGACAACGTCTTCTACTTCTATAAGAAAAGCGCCAACTTCACGCCACCAAACTATGACAAAATCGACCCCCGGTTCAACATCAGCTACGATCCCTCGGCTTTCGACAACTCCCTTGGTGGGCCGCTGCAGATTTCGTATGGCAACAACCAACAAGACTACTCACCGGGTGTCGCCCACGGTTTCGAAGCTATGGGTCTGTCGCTCATCCCTGGCCTGAACAGCGGCTACTTACTAGGCTATGGCCCCATGAGTGCGACAGTCAACCCCAAGGCGGCAACCAGGGAGACGTCGCAGACTTCGTTTGTGCAAACGGCCATAGATGAGACTGACATTAAGCTCTACCAGACTACTACGGTCAAAAAGATTCTGTTCGATGACGACAAGAAGGCAATTGGTGTTGAGGTAGAAGGCCACGGTGGCATACCTGTCGTGTACAACCTGTACGCGAGCAAAGAGATTGTCGTTTCTGCGGGAGCCGTGAGTGATACATTCCTCCGAAATGTTGAGCAGTCACTTAATGTTTTTCTGTCTAAGTTCCGCTCGCCGCAGCTGCTTATGGCCTCTGGAGTAGGACCCAAGGCTATTCTGGACCAATTTAGCATCCCTGTCGTCGCCGACTTACCTGGTGTTGGCCAGGGCATCCAGGATCAAGTATGGCTGGGCTTCAGTTATGGTGTCAATGTGACTACAAAGACCCAGATTGTTCTTAATAACCCTGACTATACAAAGCCGGCCATTGATCTGTACCTTCATAATCAATCTGGTCCACTTTCTGGTATCGGTGCCGGAGAGCAAGTCGGTAAGCGTACTACGACGTCGAGCTCTTGTATCCGCCTCAGACAACATATCTGACTCTTCTGTAGGATGGGAGAAGCTCCCAAAGGAGAACCGCGCTCGCCTTACCAACGAAACGCTGGCTTGGCTCAGCACTTTCCCCGATGACTGGCCCGATGTTGAGTATCAAGACATCGCATTCAGCTCCGTACCCGACGACATTCGACCGGACGGACAATACATGACGTTTGGGGCGGCGCTGTTGACCCCTAAATCTCACGGCAACGTAACGCTTCGCAGCAACGATACCAATGATTACCCGGTCATCATGATGAATTACCTGCTCGACCCCGTCGACCAGGGCGTAGCCATCGAAGCGTTCAAGCGGTTGCGGCAATGGGCCCGGGGCAGCGGCATCCTCGTGGACGAGTTCAATCCCCCCGAAGACGTAGAGACGGACGAGCAGATCTTCGAGTGGATCAAGGCCGAGGCTACCTTCATCTACCACGCCAGCTGCGGTTGTGCGATGGGTAGGGACGACAATCCCGCTGCTGTGCTTGACGCCCAGGCTCGTGTCCGCGGTGTTACGGGTCTTCGCGTTGTTGATACGAGCTCTTTCCCTGTTCTTCCTCCGGGGCATCCTTTGGCTACAGTCTGTAAGTATCCTTCTCTTCTTCTATTATGCTTCAATGATTGGCGCAACACTAACAGACGATGTTTTCGTAGACATGGTGGCCGAAAAGATCGCCAATGCCATCATCAAGGGCGAACTGGAGTAATTAGTTATTGGATATTAGACCCGCTTGTTGTACTACCAGGCCACCCTATCTTCGCATAATTCTTTATTTTTGCATTTGCTTTTGGGTTATTTCAACACCATGCTACCCCTATATTACATTCTTTAAAGTACATGACTGCTTCGCTCCTTCACATATATAAACTCGCAGCTAGATATTCTTTTACAATCAAGCCGCGTTCATATCCTCACTCGCACGGTTTCACCCAACATGCCAACATGAAGAAAAGTTGATTGTAGTTTACGATAGTATAGATCCTCTCCGCGATATATTTTAGCTATAATAGATGTTGTGGACCGTAAGAGAAATCAACCCGCAGGGTCAAGAGAACCTTATAGGAAAGAAGCCCACACGGGCCTAGAGACCACAGGGGCTTAGTAACCAAAAGGACTCGCGTCCCGCAAGGCACCAACAGACACGTACTAAGGATAGCTCATACAGGAATTCTCCCTATAAGGACTCGGACAACTAAGAAGGCGGCAAGGCAAGAAGCCCATAGGGGACTAGAGACCGCAAGGGCAGAATCACAGAGCAATCACAAGAACCTTATCACGTCCGCCCGGAGAAAGGAAAGTTATTTATCAAGTTACGACAAAGGCGGTTGCCAGGAAAGTAGCACGAAATTCACGTACAGGACCCACTATTAGATCTATACAGATCCGAGATTCTTAGATCCACCCTCTCTAAATCTAGGGTTAATAGATCCTATATAAATACATCTAGATTATTAAAGCTTTTATATATATATTTAGACTATACTCCCTAGCAGTAGATAGGATCTTCGTAGTTAACTGTGAAGCTGGGCGCGAGGAATTGGACGCCGCTTGTCCTTCTAGATTACTGTTACCTATGGAGGTATATATGCTGCTATCTAAAAGAACACGTTTTCTCTTTAGTAGTGGTAAATGAGTAGTGCAGGGGTAAGGCTGTTGTGTAACAACTAAATAATGAGGCTGATAAACGAGAGTTATCGGAGTGATCCTGGCTGACAATTATACACGCCCTACGCTTAACACTGCCAAAAAAAGTCTGTATCGTAATATTCACATGCCAACAAGCCGTAGCAATAAAAGATGGCGTGACTGCTGATCGGGGCCAAGCAATCGGTCCCAAGCAATGGTGAAAAAGCAAGTTCTCTCAATGCAGTCACCCGAAATCCACAGTAACATAACACCGCGTTACCCGCTCGATGTCTACGACCTCTTATGACTCCCCATCGCGGCTGACAAGGGGCAACCAATCCGAAGCGGCATGTGGTAGCCGCATCAGATCCAGCTGGCTGGCCGAGCATTTGGAGCGTTACATAACTCAGAGAAAGTCAGCTGAAAAACAGGAGGACGGCAGTCGCAGATGGCTGTGATAGCGCAGCAAACATTGATGGACGAGAGGTTGAAAATTTTTACGTCTGGCTGCAGCCAGCTGGATAATGGTGTGGAAAATCAAAGCGCATGAAACGCATGTCGGCGTCCTTCATGCCGGCTTCCTTCGTGCAGATCAAACTATACTACTCCCGGAAAGTAGTAGAACAAAGAGAATTCCGCTTTGTAAAGTCAAAAGCACGATTGCCACCGTTATCCAGCCTAGCGGCTCTCTACGCCACGGCTCTCTCCGCCACGGCTACACGGACGGCAGCATGGTTTGTGTGCGTATGAGTGTGCCCACTCAGCTGAGATGCAGTTAGCCTTCCCTACCTATCTACTGGTTAGGTTTCCACAAGTGTATTATGTAGAGTAAGCATATATAAGCATGCGAGATTACTTTTTTGTGTCACCGTATTTAGATCAGAAAGCAAGGAATACTTGGTCCGTGGAAAACACTTCATCAGATTGGGGCCGATAGGTTGGGGGCCAAGATCCTTCGCGCCTAATTGGGTAAGTCAGCTTACTCGCCTGTCAATCAAACAGTGGAGCCATGCTCTTAACGCTCCAATTGTATTGCACCTAAGTACATTGAGATAATTTTAGTCAAAATCGGCCCCGTCATTCCATCGAGTCGTTTTCCGTCAGAGAAACACATAAAAGATAGGAGTTTCCTTGCTCTCAAAATGTACAAGACGTTACCTTTACCCTGCAAAATTATCTCCAACATGGCACAATACTCGCAGTCATGGCTAATCAGCCTCTCTCTTGCCATCTTAATGGTATTCGCTCTCGTTGACGCAACTTCTGCCCGTCCGCCTCTTCAGCGGCGCGCTGGCCTTCAACCATCCGTAACTGGCAGCCTCTATCCCATGTCAACCGGCCAGAGCACATACCCAAGGGCCAGCTTCCGCTCCGACGGTACCATCCTTGGCGCCTACACCGCTATCGCCAACGGTGAAACCATCATTACCCTCACCTCGAGCTCCGACTCAGGCGCGACGTGGAGCGTCCTCGGCACTGCCGCGCGCGGCCCGGCTAACACGACTGATATCGACAACCCCTATCCCATAGAGCTGCCCTCGGGTCGCCTGCTCGTCGCGTACCGAAGCCACGACCAGACGGCTGGCGTCGAGGATGCGTGGACGTATTACCGCCTCATTGTCTCTTACTCGGACGACGGCGGCGCGAACTGGGACTACTTAAGCACGCCGGCACAGGAGCCCGGCCCGACGACGGGCGTGTGGGAGCCCTTTATGCGCATGGCCGATGATGGCGAGACGCTGCAACTGTACTACTCCCGCGAGACGACAGACATCGACCAAGACAGCCTGATCAAGACGTCGACGGATGGTGGCAAGACATGGTCAGAAGCGCGCACGTTTACCGGTTTGAACCTGACGAAGAATCGGGATGGGATGCTTGGCGTAGCCAAGACAAATGACGAGGGCGGGTTGATTGCCGTGTTTGAGACGGAGACGGATGGCAGCAACTTTCATATCGGGGCTGTTAGTTCGTCGGATGATGGCCTTACGTGGACGGATCGGAGGATCGTGCACGAAACAGAGTCTAATAATTCTGCGCCGCAGGTCACTAACGTAGGAGGTACATTGGTGGTGAGCTTCCAGACGAATGAGGACGGGGATTACGCAGTAAAGGTCGTAACAAGCAAGGACGGCAAGAACTGGGGAGACAAGACGACGGTAATGACGGCGACTAGTAAATGGGCAGGGTTGTTGACGCTGGATGATAGCAGCTTTCTGGTAATGGCTGGGCATAACGGCGTCGCTAGTGCGCAGAAGGTAATACTGGCCTGAGAATAATGTATAGGGTAACGATGTCGCTGCTTTATTAATAGTTCTATGTAAATTCTAGAACGGCTAGAGAAGACTTTTAAATTATTCTAGAATTTTCTTATTTTCTTATTAAGAAGAGAGGATGATCCTTTATTAAACTTCGCTATAAAGATAATTAATAATAGTATAGCCTAGCTTCTCGTACCGTAGCTAATTACTCTTTTATTAGTGTCAGCCAGGATCACTCCGATAACTCTCGTTTATCAGCCTCATTATTTAGTTGTTACACAACAGCCTTACCCCTGCACTACTCATTTACCACTACTAAAGAGAAAACGTGTTCTTTTAGATAGCAGCATATATACCTCCATAGGTAACAGTAATCTAGAAGGACAAGCGGCGTCCAATTCCTCGCGCCCAGCTTCACAAAAAGTTTTCCTTATTTTAATTGATATTTTTAGATTAGGGGAAGACTACTAATAGAACGTAAGCTCTAGGATTTTTATATTTCTTAGTAGAGCCTATAATCGATAATTTCTAGTTCTTAGACCGCTTTAAATAGTACTCGTTTACTTATAGTATTAAGAAAATACTTTAAGAATTAATTTTATTAGGTTGTTTTAGCTAGTTAGCGCCTTAGGATCTTTTGCCTTAGGCCTAGAATTCTTAGAATATATTCTTATAACTTAGTAGATCGATTTTGCACCTTAGTTAACTTATGCAGTCGCTATGGTTGGCTAGAAATTGGCTTAGAGGCATTAGGAAATTCGTTATTTTCGTATTTTTAGCGAATAACGTTCCGGGATATAGATTCTAAGCTCTAAAAAATAAATATTCTTTCTCGTCTCGACGCGTAGATAAATTTAGAGTCTATAGTTATTAGATTCCGGCGTCAGATCGTAAAGTTATTGCTAAAAATCGGTTTTAGGGACGTTAGGTCAAGTTTTGTTGTTCCTCGCCAAGATCGGGCTTGGCAGCCGTCTTGCCTAATATGGAAGGTGGGTCGCCTGTCAACCAATCAACGTTAAATCTTAAGTCGACCTACCCGCCCGCCTGCCGCCCGCCCGCCTAGGCGCCCGTCTTCAGCCCGCCCGCCGGAAGGGCCCGGGCGGGAGCGGGCGGGTGACTAGGAGGCCTGTGGATGAGCAGTTGTCTCCCTATACGCCCCTAAAATCAACGAAACCTCGGGGAAGCCGTTCGGTGAGAGTGAGGCGATCGTGGGGGCGCTGCGGCGCAGGTCGGTAGACATAATATTTTCAGCGAAATATTATGTACTGCGGTACGTTTGCGCCCCCAAATTGGCGGACCCCACGGCCCCTCGCGGCTCGGCTACGTATCTAACGGCGAGCGCGCCCCACATCCCACGCATCACAATCAAAGAAACTGGAAACCATCTCCGCAGTCTAGACTCCAGTTTCGCACGCAAGACGCCGCTCCTCAGAAGGATGCTTCCCCCTCGTTTGTATGCTCTATGCGCCGTTCGTCGCGGTGGCGGCTCTCGGGCATCGCAGCCCGCGATTTTGCGACACGCGTTTTGGCCCCCACAGCAAAGTCCATATGGTGACCTCAACGGCCTCCCGCAGACACATCATGAAAAGACATCTAGTCTACTTTTGTAGAATGCGGTCATTGCGTGAGCCTTAAGTGGAGTCCCGGAGCTAATAGGTATTTAGTCACGCACAATCCCGAATAAATATATGGCTTCGTTACTCCCGACCTCCAAAGCTTGTAACGGCTGTCCATCGTTTGTCCTTTGACTTGGTTCTAACATCCACACCTCTCAAAACATGCAAGGGAAGCAAGAGTACCGAGTGCAGCCCTCAAACAGCGAGGATGCGCCTCCGGAGAGAGTGGAGGTCCTTAGTGACTACGACCTCCTCATGCCAGCGGTATTTTGCGGAAGCTTGACAACCAGGGATGCATGCGGCTAACCAGGGGACAGACTTATATGCCAATGGCTCTCATTTTCGAGCTTTCCCCGGATATTGACAGGATGAAAGTTGTCGAACAGCTCAAGGCTGGCCTGGCAGTGACGCTCAGTCAATACCCGGTGATGGCAGGATCGCTTAAAAAATCAAGCAAAGACGGCGGCAGACTTTGTGTCTCGATAAAAAAGAACTCCACTCATAGCTTCTGGGCAGTCTGGGACGAAAACAAGAACCTTCCTAGCTTCGAGGAGATGAACAAGAGAGACTTCCCTGCCTCCCTGCTGGAAACCGAAAAGATTACCACCGGAGATTTCCTTGCAAAGCAACTGTTCTCACCCCTCGGAGACGAAAGAGATGACGAGGTGCCAGTGGCGACTACGCAGGCCACGTTTATTGATGGAGGCTTGATTGTGGCCCTTGCAGCTCACCACATGATTACTGATGGACCCGGATTGAACGGTTTTCTCCTTCAATGGTCCGAAAACTCCAAGGCTCTTGCTGAGGGCACGCCGCTTCCAACCTTTGATCTTAAGAACCTTGACCGCTCCCCTCTTTGTGCAAACTCAATCCCTGATGCCGCGCGAATGGAAGAGCTCAACCACAAAGTCAAGGCTTTCTACCACAAAACAGACCCCACTCCACCGCTTCCGCCTGACTTCAAGATGCCCGAAATGACGCCTACCGAATTCCATTTCTCCAAGCGGGGCCTAGAGCAGCTAAAGGCCGACGCGCAGCCTACCGAAGGCAATTCATGGGTGTCGACGTACGACTGCATTATGGCTGCCGTCTGGCGCGCTGTTACACGCTCTCGCCTACCCATGCACAACCCGGACCTTAACCTCCACAGCACGCTCCTCCACGCCGTCAACAACCGCATGCGCGCCGATCCACCTCTTCCTCCGCGCTTCCTAGGCTGTGCCGTCTCGCTCGCACGTCCTGAAGGTTTCTCAATCGGAGAGTTAGTCGACATGAAGAATTTGCCACTCATCGCCTCCGGTATCCGCCAGTCTATTCTTGCCGTCACTCCTGAGACCGTGCAGGAAACAGCAGAATGGGTTGCCGGCACAAAGGACAAGAACACCATCGACATAAAGCTCAACGCGCATATGGGCTTGGACTTTGCTGGTACTAGCTGGCAACCCGTAACCGTCTACCAGGATTTGGACTTTGGGTTCGGATTGCCCAAGGCGTTACGGAGCCCGAAGCCGAACTGGGACGGGTACATCTTTGTCTTACCGAGGCGTGTAAAAGACGATCCCGAGGAGGGGATTGAGACTTGCATCTGTCTTGAAAAGAGTTGCATGGAACGGCTTTTCAAAGATGAGGAGTTGAGTAAGTACGCAAAGCCTAGGGGACTGTAAAGACGCTTGGAATGATTTTCGTTCTTACACAAAGTTGAGTAAAGGTTTAATATAACTACCCTGTTGTTTGACTTGCTATAGTGACACCATAAATACGTTAATTCTAATATCTCTCCGGGCACATGTACAGTGACACAGTCAGAGATAACAGGCTGAGGCGGACGTAGTGACTAACAAAGTATCTCTTCCTTAATGTTATAATTCTCCTTGAATATGAGCTTTGCTCTGCAACGATGTAGGTTGTATCTACGAACCACCATTAAGCGGTCACTGCTCGACCGACCGGACAAGGGGCTAAAGTCCTTGTCCGTGTCGATCCTAAATTAGCCCCCAAGCATGTATGCTAAGTCAGCACTGCACCGCCCCCTATTAACTCATTATTAATTGTGTATTGCCTCGTTTGAAATACCGATTTCTTTATCAAACCTGAAGTCTCTACCGGCTCTTATATGTTCTTAACGATCTTTAACGCCACATTCCGCACTTGTTGCGACCAGATCACTATTATCTCTGATCTGTCCTGAGACGGACCTTGTCTCTACATTCGTCGCCGTTATTGTTACTCTTTTTTAAAAAGGCGTTTCGGCCAAACCACGTTGCTGGAGATGTCTTCAGATATCCCCGAGTATTGGTCTGAGGAAATGCCATTTGTCGATGTCGAAGACCCGGAATCCTGGCTTAAGGAGACTGAGGGCACGCTATTTACCTCAGAACATTGGTATGCGCGGGAAGCGGAAGAGTTGGAAGATTTAAGAGAGAGCGAGACATTCAGAATGCTGGAAGCACTGGTACAGCAGCCTGATGTGTCTCCAGAAGACGCCGTCCAGCATCTCGTGGACCGTATCTTGAATGCATTGAAACCAGACAACGGTTATGAGTTTCTCCCATGTGATGGTATAGCTATATGTACCATTGAAGTGGCCATTCGCACTTCCCCGGAAAAGCAGCGTAAGCTCATCGACATGCTGCTCCTGTTGCAGGATACCACTGTAATAAACCCAGCTACAGGCGCGCCGGTGATAGTTGAGCATGACTCTATAAACCTTGGTGTCGCTTTCAGAGACCTGCCATCCTTTGGTTACATACTCACCGACAACGTTAATGCGCACAGTGAATGCTTGTTTATCCACTTTGAACCAGCGCACTTTTTATTGACTTTCTAACAGGCATGGATAAACCTGCCCATCTCCCCGAGGTTGAGCAGCACTGGGTTAATCACATGACATTCCTGGCACAAGTTAGCGCTGCTGAAGTCAGAAGTATGCCCGGATATATAGGCTATGCTCTACACGAATTTCACTGGGCGTTTGAGTCGTGGCAAGAGCGCAAACCCCCAAACTTGCCTGCCGTGCGTGCCGCCTGTATCTGGCTTAAGTATGCGACAACTAGGGTCTGGCATTGCGTCCAGAATCTGGAAAGATGGGAATTTTGGAAGCAGCGGTTGGTGGAGCTTAAAGGTGACTTCGACGAGCGAACGGATAACTTTGTCGACAAGGCGCTAGTGCAGATGAAAAAAGTTGAGGTACTTAGAAATCAACACTGATTGGATTGGCTTGAATTAACGAGACTGTGTACAGCAGAGCTGCATGGATTTTGGCAGCGTAGTCAGGTGCTAAACGATTCTCCGCATACAAGCTGCAATGAAGTCATAGGGGGGAAGGCTCGAATCGAACCAAGCTCGATTACAATAGGTGTTGTTATGCTGTGTTGAGGAAAGATCAGGCTGTTATGCACGACTCATGCAGGTTGCTGCCTAAACGAACCCCAACTCGCTCAGAACCCAACATCAGAGTTTGTCAGGCGTTATACTTACCTACTACCTACACCAGCGTCCCTCGTCGCCCGCACAGCCTAAAGGCAATAATAACGTCATGGATTGCAGCGTAACGAAACTTAGCGGCCTTCCGAACGAGCTGCTGGCCGAGATCTTCGGCTACTGCGAGTCCACCGACCTTCAGTCCCTACTTCGTGTTTCCAGGGAGTTTCATCGCTTCTCTGAGCCTTATGTATACTCCTGCTACACATACCGTGATCAAAGAAGCTGTCGAAATTTGATTTGGACGCTGGCACGTCGCCCTGACCTTGCCTCATGCGTACGCGCAGTAGACCTTGGGCGTATTGTGTGGAGACAGAAAAGCACTGGAAACGCCCAAGCCTATGTTGCAACTGTATCTGGGTTAGAAATTGAGCGAAAACCAGAACTTGTTGCCCTCCTAGAGAGTGGGGAAGCCGGGGCTGAAGCGACCTTGCTCCTATGCATGTTGCCAAACTTGACGTCCCTTGGTCTGATGGCCCCTTACGAGTGGGAAGACAGCCATTTCTGGATGCTGACGGAGGCCGCATCTACAACGTCGACGGGGCCACTCTCAAACTTACGTAGAATTTCAATTTGCCACTGGAACATGTCCGACGGCTTCGGGTGCCATACTCTTCGTCGATTTCTTCGCATATCATCCGTACGCCGCATTGAATGCAGGACGAGACCAGGTTATGCTTTACGGCATTTTGGAAATTCGGAACGTATCTCGTGGCCGGTCCGATCCTCCAAAGTTGACCACCTTACTTTCTCACCTTGCGATCTCAAAATAGCCGATATCCGAAGCATCTGCGGGAGTTGCAAGGCACTTAAGTCACTTACCATCGAGTGGGGAAGCATGCCAATAGACAATTCAGACATTGACATCGAGGTTTTTGGCCCAGCATTCAGCATCCAACGCGATTCACTCGAGCATTTGGTTATCGACATGAGCAATTGCTTCCTTAACCCAGTCATACCGAAGCCTATCGGCTCTCTGAAGTCGCTTCATCGCCTCAAGTCTCTTGAGGTTAACGCGGTGTTCCTTACCGGGGTGGAGCGTCAAGATAAAGAGCCAAGCTATGCTCTTCTTGCTGATGTGCTTCCTCAATCCCTTGAAGTCCTCCGAATCAATCCGAATAGCCAGGGCGTCAATAACTCACTATGGTGGGTATTTCCCCATTATCTCACCGCCCTCCACGATTGGCTCTTCGCTCTTGTGTCGATCTGTGCTGGGGGTTCTTTACCGAAACTCGGCCGCATCGAATTGAGGCCAAATCTCAGACCTTTTGGAGTTATACCGTACGCTCACGATAATTCGCCGTTGCTGGAGGCGCTCGAGTTCCGCCTCCTCACCAACCACGCGACTCTGAACAACCTGTGCACCCGCTTTTCCAAATGTAACATCGAGCTACTGGTCGAGTAACGTCTCCCACAGTATGCGGGGCTCGCAGAGGTTCGATAGTGGCGGGCGCGGAGCCTTGCTGAAGCTGTGTATAGATTGTCCAGTGCTGGCGATGATGACGTGGGGACAAGATGAAGGGTTGTTCAGGAGGGACGTCAGGCAGTAGGCTGCGGGGTGGATTTGTGCACGGACATAGCAATATTAGCGCGTCACGGTGCGCGCGCGCCTTTCGCGATAGACTGCCGTCGCCTTCACCTTCACCTTCACCTTCACCCGTTCGCTACATATCACCGTGAGCCGCAGTTCCATCGTCCACCGCCGCTATAACCCTCCCTTACCTGCCGTCTCAACTTTCGTCTGCGATGTCGATCCACATACCTATCCGTGCCGTACCGCAGCGCCGCCGCTCCGACGAGCATAGACATGGAAGGCTTGTTGTTATAATAAGAATACGAGACAGTTAGAGGTGGCTTGCAGTCCAGGAACAGAAAACTATATGTTGGATTGAATGGTTGAAACCGTGCGAGTGAAGAGAGAACGCAGCTTGATTTTGAAAGAGTGTCTGGCAGCGAGCTTTATATACATGAAGAGGTAGAGCAGTCATGTGCTCGCTTATAGAAAGTAACAGGGTATTGAGATAACGAAAAAGCAAGGTGAATATAAAGAATAATGTATGAAGAAATGTGGTCTGATAGTCTAATACAACTATAATAATAGATAGACAGGAGGTTAAACTAATAAAGGCGGTAAAGCTACTCGGAGTAGTTCTCGACTAATAACTTAGATAGAGAGCGTATATCTAAAGAGTAATTGTCAGCCAGGATCACTCCGATAACTCTCATTTTTTCCAGCCTCATTACAGTCAGTTGTTACACAACAGCCTTACCCCCTGCACTACTCATTTATCTACTGCAAGGAAGCAATGATCTCAAAGAGAAAACGTGTTCTTTTAGATAGCAGCATATATATACCTCCATAGGTAGTAGTAATTTAGGAGGACAAGCGGCATCCAATTCCTCGCGCCCAGCTTCACAGTTATGAGCCCGGAATCGCATCCTTTTGCGCCTATTCCCTTTGAGATCAATCTTTGATCAAACCTTATCGGTTCACTCGCTTGATAAGCTAGTGTAACATTT